CAGCACTTCTGGAAGTGCGAACGCAAGAAAATGAACCCCGTCCGTAGATCCCAACACACCGGTTTCACACGTTGAACTAAACCGAAGCCCAAACACTCATCACTCATTTCCACCATGTTTCAACGCCCAACGCCACGCCCAACGCCGGCTGTTCGGTTCGCCACCTGGCGCGCAGGTGGCGGCATGCGCCGGAGCACCTCGTTGCGCACGCGGAAGTTTCCAGCCGTGGCAGCCTAGGAGAGGGAGGCGCGCCACGGCGGGTCATGTAGGGTCAGGGCGGGTTCACGGCCCGACTTAGGCGGGAAGCGGGAAGGAGACAAAAAGGACTTGGTTTATCATGTATGGGGCCCTATGACTCTTTGTTCAAAGATGTTCAATTACACAGTGAAAGGACTTGGTCGCTGCAAAAACTGTATCGAATTGTCAACATGTTAGTGGAACGGTCAATGGCCTTGTCAGTGCATTCCCCGAAACAGAGTCATTTTACATTTTGGTGTGCGGTCCTTTTTTGGGTGACTGTTTCATGGCTTGCTTAGACGGCACCCAAGTGTTGGTCTATCTGGTTTAACCAACCAACCAACCAACCAACCAACCAAGCAACCAAGCAACCAAGCAAGCAAGCAACCAAACAATAGACCTATATAATATATAATGCGGGCGAAGGAAGGCTAGGGGTAGATTCATTTACCTATACATCGCACAACTAAGTGGTGTCCAACCATCAGCTACGGACCATCTTGCTTCTTCAGCACTCTACCTCCTACCTAACCGGACCGGACGACCGCAGACTGCGACCGCAGACTGCGACCTCTGCGACCCGATTGTCGTCGCCCCAGAACTGCGGAGCATCTCCATCACCTCGGGAAGGAGGCGAAACAAGGTCACCTGTTTCTTCGTAGTGTCCTTGTGAAGGTTCCTTTACGTGACCCTTAGGAGGCTGAACCAAAATGACCTCAAAATCACTTTGAAGAATCAGGCGACTAGCACGAAGAAGGTCTGATAGAACTACAGAAAACGTTCGGGGTGACCAATGGACAACCCTACACTGCTTATGGGTCGACGGGACGCCCAGACCGGAAGCGCTATAGCTATGAGGATGACTTAGGATGACCTGCTTTCGTCGAATCGATGGTTCTTCGGGATTCTGGGCCCTAGGGATCCAACAAAAACACCTACGACGACCTACGACACACACCCCATGGATCTTCGGCCCAGCAGCGACGCGATCTGGGCCGACGTCTGTTTCGACCACGGTCGACGTCGTGCGGTTTTGATCGGGTTTCTTTCCCACGACTGACCCGTCACGTTGATCGGAGTCTGACGGAGATCACTGTCCCAGGCCACGGAAAGTGCACGTTGTTTTGTTTGACCATGTTGTTTGTATACCAGCACCCTCCAAAAGGATCCAAAAGGTGTCTCCTGGTGACAACAGGTGTCCATAAACCACCTGTTAGGGTTTCCAAACAGCCTGTTGGAGGGTCCTGGTACATGTTTTTACTCACATGTGGGGCTACTCTCGGTGAACCTCCTGTGTCATAGCTTCCTGCCCACTGCTCATTTCTTCTCGAAGCGGACACGATGCGACAATGTGTCCCCACCTGAAATCCGTACACGGAAAGGAGACAACTAGTATACGTGGAACGTGTTTGGGGTAGTGCTATTTCGCTTTGAAACCAACGAGTTCCGAGTGTTTCCAAAGTGGAGATTGATCTCTCAGGAAGCCTTGAACATCCTTGACAAGCAAAACATGACACGCATCATTGTTTTCATCTATCCGCCTGGAAACCCGCTTTCCACATAGAACCACATAGAACCACCAACCACTGTTTGGGTCTTTGGGTTTCCATCTATGACACACCAAATGAGAGGTCCTCTCTCCTCTCTCCACACGGCCACGTGGCTCAAGGTGGATCTCAAAGTGCGCGTGGCCGGACGCACGGACGACCTGAGCGGCATCGGATGGCAGTCGGGCGGGTTACACGGGTTCGAGCGCACTGCGCGCGGGGACCAGGCGTATGGCAGTGAAGCTGGCCCAGGTTCCTGCTTCTCCCCCAGCTATATGACATCCCAGGTCCGGATCACGGGTCCGCGTCACAGAAGAGTCCTCGTCGAAGGTTTGCAGACCTTTGGGATTTGACCGCCCTGATGGTGACACACGTAGAGCTTCCCAGAAAAGCGAACGAACAGCTTAGTACAACTAATGAAACCACCGTTGGACCCAGCTTCCGCATTCTCCCTCTAGCCAAACATCTGAACATCTCAACATTCACCAAACTGTTTGACCAAACTTTGGGATGTTTGTGGAAAAACAGGGAAACACTTTGAGATTTCAGTGGAAACAAGCTGGAACAAACATGGAAAAACTTTGGGATTTTGGTGGAAACAAGCTGGAACAACCATGGAACAACGGGATTTGAGTGGAAGAAACATGGAACCAACACCTTCCAATCCCATCCGTTCTCCGTTCGCTCTTTGACCCAGCTCAAGGAACTCTTTGACCAGTTGCTCAAACGAGGCGATCCACTGACGTCCGTCCTCGGAAGTCGGGAGATGGGTGAGTCAAATGGGTGGGTACATGCACAGAAAGGGATCCGTTCCTGTAGAATCCATTCTATGGTTATATAGATATACATCTTCAGGGGGGGTCTATAAACCACCCCTTGGGTGGTGCTGGTATATGGTTATATAAATATAATATATATATTTTTGCTGTGAGAGGGGTGATTGGAGATATGTTGATGGCGCCAGGAGGGTCCAGTCGTACCTTCTGAGAAGGTGGCAGTGGATCCCTACCGATGATGTGATGATCTGTTTTGGAGAGTTCTGCTGTTTGCCTTTTTTGCCTGCCATAGCCCATAGCTGTAGTATCACAATGCAGGCAAGGGATCACATCAGTTGAAGGTGTCCCAGTTAAAGGAGGTGTCCCAATTGACCAGTAACAATTTGAGAACGGTCTACAAGCCATCATCCGCCCTGATAAAAATACCCAATGTATGGTTGTGCAGGAAGGCCGCCCATGTTTTTTGAAGTTGGAAGTTGCAGAAAATTGGAGACACACACTTATGATTGTCACATGCTTGGGAGCGAGCACACGGGCGGACAAAGTGAAGAGGGAGCGAGCAGCGGGTCTTCAACCCAAACACCTGGTGGCCGCTCAGGAAAACGCAGGTCTTCGATGTGTTCTAGGCCCCTGGTCTCCCCCAACCGGAGATTCGACCTTCTACGCTTCGAGCTGAGAGACCACCAGATCACTACACTTCTGAATCTCCGTGGCGACCCAACCTGACAAATGAGAACAAAAAACAACGAGAGGCAGCCCGCACAAGCACGAAACACGAAGGCTTGATCACTGCAGCTTAAAAGGTGCAGCTTTAGGAGTTGGAACTGACATTTTCTGAAGTATATAAGGATGCTATAGGTCTAGAATGGTTGTTAACAAGTTAGACCTGCTGACTGGGTCTTACACTACGACCTCTTGGAGGGTGTTGCTCAAAAAAATGGTGAAACAAAACACACATATAATATATCAATATGACACACCAAGAATCATCAAGAATCACATCTCCAAGGCTCCCATCCCAGTCATTCTTGTTGAACCCACTAGCTGCACTGCGCCCTCCAAGGCTCCGCAATCGCCAATCCCAGTTTTTGGTCCCCGCATGTGTTCGTTCGAAAAAGCAAGACGAGCCACGCAAAGGACGTAGTGTACACTACTAGTAGCAATGCCTTGGTAGTATAGGTACGTAAACTATAGACATCGATCGGACCCCATACAAGTATGTACGCATCAAGCTTCCACGCAAATGTCAGCATTATTCGAGTGGCAAAAGGAAGAATCCTGCTCGTCGAGGAAAAAAATCGGCCACGACCATCTCGGAGACTGCAAAGCGTTGAGCTTTAATTGCGGCGCTTGTTTTGTAGAGCATTTATAGGGCCACACTCTAACATCTCATATGATCCTCATAGAAATAATCTCTGTTACTGGACCCAGATATAGATATACTTGTGAGGTGCGTTTTGGAAGCGAGGTTTGTCCTTATATCATGAGCACTCAAGAAACGTATGATACTTCTGGGGGTTGAACTTCGTCCACGTTTGGACACTTTCGCAAAAACATGATGATTGCAAGTGAACCCCCGTCATGCGGCCGGCCACAGTCGGGGCATCCCTGTGGCAAAAGCCTTGAGCCGACAACATCAAAGTCCAGGATTTCAGATTTCGCAGCCACAAGTCGCATGTAAAGCCAAACAATTCACCATTGCACAGTATAATAGACATTCCTGGAACCATGACGCACTATGAACATCAAACATCCACCCCAACGCCTTCCGCCTTCGACCGAATTCCTGGCGTTCCCGTCCTGACCGTGCGGCTGCCTGTTTTCTTCGACGCTTTTTCCTCGAGCTTCCCAACTCGCTCGGCTTCCCAGCGCCGTCGCGGCCGGTGGCGAGGCCAGGTAAAATCCCAAGCGGATCCTCCAGCACCTCGGATCGAGTGACATCGAAAGCCGGAGTTTTATGGTTTCATGTTGTTGTTGTCTATAGGAAAAAGCAGTTCAACCTGCGTTACAACAAACATGTGGGGTGACCTACTTTTACATGCCGGGGTTGGAATCCCAAGAAGGTCAGTCTTGGCTCTTTGACTCCGGGGCTCTGTTCACCGACTCGCTTCAGCTTCACCAGTTGTCCCCCTTTCTGCTGCCCAGGATCACCATCCTGCCAGCTTGGGTTCTGCTGTGCAGAACGTGGCCTGAGCCTGGACGGCGTTGGACCACCCGGTTCGCTTCGGTGGTTTCGGCGAGCTAGGTGCGTTGGACACTTGAGCACGCCAACATCGCCACGCCCCGCTGATTGACATCCAAATCCAGTTTTGCCACTCCCATGTAACCCCTGGAAGTGTTTTAAATGGTTAATCCGGTACTTCTACGTATAAAATCCTTAAAACCATGTGGTTGTTCGGGATTCAGGCTATTAAATAAAAGGTGGGCCACGACGTCTTAGGGTAACAGTGACGGTTTCTTAAGGGCCAGTCAATGCTCCACTTTTCCAGGACACCTCTCGGTTGGTGCGGTTTTTGCCCATGCTCTTCCTATTGTATATCATATATATATATATAATACCTGGAACCCCAAACGATCACCGTTTTTTGAGTGCCAATCAGTTTTGAGACGCCACATGGCATTGGTGTTCTGTTTTTGGGCAATATATATATTAGAGCGCACGACCTTCGCCTCTTCAGAGCTAAATCGGGGACGATGGAGATCTTGGAGAATATTCATCACCAGTTTCAGGGGATTTACTCACTTCGGGAACACCACACATCAACTCACCTGAATCCGCCCGGTTACCAAAGGGGTTCGGTCCAAACCTCGGGTTGTAGTTGCTTTGGGCTGACCCACCAGCATCGGCCTGTAGTAGACCCAGTGCCTCCAACTGCAACTCCTGCTGTGCACCGGGCGTTGTGGATCCTTTGGGTCCCAGTCACATGACCACCGGGACTGCCTGTATGGACTGCAATTTGGGTGGTGATTTGGGGGGTCAATGTATATGTGCCAGTCCCATGGAGTGTTTGGGCATGTGTTTCCTCTTCTCTCTCTTATTTCTCCGCGAGAAGGGCTAAAGGACGTATATCTCACCCCCCTAAAATGCTCACTTCACACCTCACAAATGGGCCTTGTTGGTGTCTTAGGGCACATGTTTACAGGTAATACTCTGTTCCCGCGCTTTCCTTTGTAGAATGTGGTATGTAATAGAATGATTGTATACTTTCTTGGTCTTTCCCATGGCCCGGTTCGACACGTCCTTTGGATGTTGTTTTTACTTCTGCTGCTGCAGTCGGACGCCTTCAAGGCACCTTGCTTCGGGGAAGCCGAAACACGACCGACCGACTGGGACTGGTGACGTCCACCGACCGTCGTGCACGAAAGGAAAGCGACGTTCATTCTCCAGGATGGCCAAGCAAACACGTGACTCCATGGATCTCTCCCCCCCTTCACCCCAGCTTCACCCCTCTACACATCTCCAACCGCCCCCACACCGCCAGCGCGCCAAAACACAACGGCGCAGCGACACTAAAACAGCTCTCGCCGCCGGTCCAGTTCTGCGAACGGCGATGGGCCAACAAGGGATGCGCAACCTCGGTCGATCGGTCGCGATGCGGGACGGTCGGAGCGATTCGGGGGCGGTCGTTGAACGTGCCCAAAATGGCGGGTGTCATCGGGGTTCAATCTATATATGTTTGAAGAAGTGCCATCCATCCATCCATGTAGTCCATCCATCAATGGAAAAGTGTCTTATTGGTCCTCCAATTAGAAACAAGTGCCAAAAAGGAACTTGTTAACTATTTGTGACCCTTGCCCAACTTGCAATCCACTCGATGTTTTGTTGAAACATGCCCCTGTCCGGGTCACGAACTGTAACGAGGAGGCACACACATGCCACCCTGCGTTGTTTTCAGCGGGGCATTTTCGCCAGACCCACGATTTTTTGTGTGTCTCTGCCGCCTGCATCGTTCTTGTCTGATACTTTTGGGGGACTCAGCAGGAGGAAATCAAACAAATGCGTTTTGACAAGCCTTGAAACCTATGGCAAATCCAACATTGTCACTGGACATCCAGCGTTTCCATCGTGCGACTCACCCACCTCCTTTCTCATGTTGTAAATCTCCAATTTCATGGACGTCTCTAGTTATATACCACCCCAACTCATCGCAAACCCCCCAAAACACCCCGTGTTGCCCTCCCACCCGCCCCACCCCTGGCCACCCACACCTCGTGTTGCCCCCGCTCGTTTCCCGATTCGCCCCGAGCGGCCAAAAGGTCCGCTTGCCCCAATGGCACCATGTGTGGCGATCCCAAGTCCATCGGTTCCACACGGCCTGCGATTCCGAACAGCGACTTGACTAGTCGCCGGCTATGCCGAAAGAGTCCATTTTGTTCGGCAGAGTAGACTTTGGTGACTAGTCTTAATTCATTTCATATATGTTTTTTCTGGAAAACAAGGGTACTTTGGAACCAAATAGCGGGGCAAAAACAACAATTCTACGACTTACGCGGATCCACCAGGTCCCGCACTGTTTTCGCGTCTAAGGAAATGTGTGGCAATTCGAATGGGCCTTGGGAGAGTGGAAATTCTCTCTTCGGGCTCTTCAAGCTGAAGGGTGCGTTCCCAGCACAAGGTATACACAAGTCCGGCCCTTCGAGAAATTACTTCACTTCGAGTAATCCCCACCGTGACATCTCAATCTGACAATCTTTTGGGGCATGTATTGAAACAATGTGTTGGCATTCTGTCTCGCACATCTTCTGACATTATGTCTGACATTCTTACTGGCATCTTGTCTGACATTCATTTTGGCATTTTATCATATTTTATCTGTATATCTTCTGACAGTCTTTCTGGCATATCTTCTGACACTATTTCTGGCATTCTTCCTGGCCTGGCATATCTTCTGACATTCTTTTTTGCATATCTCCTGACATGCCTTCTGACATTCTTTCTGGCATATCCTCTGACATCCTATCTGGCATATCTTCAGCATATCTTCTGACATTCTTTCTGGCGTTTTATCTGGCATATCTTCTGACTGGCGGTTGAGGTCCGGCGGAGAACACTGCCGTCCTACACTTGCGGTTGAGGAGGACGAGGAGAAGGCAGAGAGGAGAGAGGAGAGAGGAGAGAGGAGAGAGGAGAGAGAGGAGAGAGGAGAGAGGAGAGAGGAGAGAGGAGAGAGGAGAGAGGAGAAAGGAGAGAGGAGAGAGGAGAGGGGAGAGGGGAGAGGGGAGAGGGGA